CCGAAAATAAGACCTAGCGCTATCTTCGGGGATTTCTGTAATATAAGACCTACCCCGAAAATAGTTCGGTGGTAGGTCTTATATGACAGACATCCCTGAAGATAGCGCTAGGTCTTAGGACATGTAATAATAACCAAAAAAAACTACTTTATAAATATATCCGCAAAACCTATTCATCCGAATGCATCAGATGCATCTGAAATTTTGTTATCAAAAATTTGTATACTTTCAAATTCATTATTTTTCCCTTCGGATGAATACAAACGTCCGAATATGCCAAAATTCGTCTGAACTTCAATTCAGAATGAAACAAATCACACATGTCTACCTTTTATCACTCCACTCATATTTTATTATTTCTACAGAAATGCAGCTATTATAAAAAGAAATACTTGAACTTGGTTGTAGCCACATAAGGTGGATACGGTGTCAGTCCTATGAAAAGACATTAAAGTGTTTATAAACCCAAAATCAATTTTTCATCATGCCTTCCTGTATACAGTTTTCTTAAAGGAGAATTATGAGGTGAGTGCTTTTCACTCACGTCATAGTTCTAGCCGACCTCTGACAATGAGACTGTCACAGGTCGGCTCAGTAGATCGGGAAGTGAGCGAACACATACAGGGGTTCGCTCACTTCTCGATCCTGTCACGGCTCTCTGCCGTGACAGGGGAGGGGCTGGATTTCCCCACTCCGATCCTCCAGCGCTGAGTGGTGGAACGGACGGGTACAACTGGCTCTGCCTCTAGATAGGTGCAAGCAGGTGGGCGGATCCAGGCAAAATTGTCGGGATCCGCTTCAGCTGCGGCGTCTCAGTATACCGTGAGCTGTAGCTCGCGGTATACTGAGCTTAGGGTGACGGGAGGACGCTAGTTTGTGTCCTCCCGTTACCCTAAGGAGAACTATGGGGAAAAGCCCTAACCCCATAGTTCTCCTTTAAATACATTTTTGGAGAATCTGTTTCGGAACCTGAGAGTCTGCCAGTAACAGCACTTTCTGTATCAGGCTGAAAACACTAAGCTGCTTCTGCAATTAGCTGCAGCATTATCAGCCTGCTACATGCACTCCTTCAGTTGGATATTGAGCTGCCTATCTGGTCTATTCGATTGGGCAGCCCAATGGTTAACTGAAAAAGTACACAGCAGGCTGACAACACTAGTATTTGTGAGGAAGCAGATTAGCTTTGTCAGCCTAACACAGGAAGTGCTGTTACTGGCAGGATCTCCAGGTAAGAAACTTTGCAACACACGTACAAAAATTATATATTTAAGAAACTGAGGCATGATGCCAAACATTTAGAAACATAAATTTGTGGTTTCCATACACTAAACCAGGAGACAACATTGGTGGAAGAGGAGATAAGAAAGCAGATTTAAAAAAAAAAAAAAATCTTGTGTACACTAATAGCCTCATAATAAGCTGGGGATTTCAGCATGTCCCACAGGAATACAGTTGGATGAATTCCTTGAAGATTTTCACTGGCTTTATAAAATTGAGGTGTGATCTAATGAGCTAAGATTGCAGGTACAGAATGACATCCATCTGCCAAGAAGCCTTTAAAACACATCTGGACTGCACTGGTATACCTCTCCGCAGCCTTTGAAGTGAGTGCCTAAGCATGGTCAAGTAGCTGATGGTATACTTGCTGAACATGGAAGTGTGTACTGATCTTTGCAACCTAGAATTTGGAGAATGGGGCTTGGTAGGCTTAAAACACCTTCTAAGAACTCCCTTTTGGACATGCAAACTTTCCTCAGGGAAATCTTCTTTAAATGAAATGTATAAGTAGTCATTACTGACTCTTTCTGAAAGAGCTAGTTGACCCTGCATTCAATGCGTTCTGATAAGTACTTTGGAAAAAGGCTGCAATAGGTCTTTAGATAAATCCAGATAGTGTAACACAACCTCCCAGGAGAAGATAAAGTTGAGTAGGACGCTTTGTAACCATAGTGGCCTTCAATGTCTTCAGGAACCTTGCATAAAACCACTAAATTGAAGGAATCATTGAAAGATTGTTAACAATAAAGTTAGATGTGAACAAAATCTATCGCAGTGTAGTGTGAAAATGTCAGTATATTTTGGAAATCTCTTCTTTATTTGCCCTGAAGAAGAGGGTGTTTTAAGCCGAAGAAGAGGGGGTTTTAAGCTACAGAACACATGCATTACATCCTGATGATACTGATCATGACTGAGTTTTGACTTACTGTATAACAGTGGGAGGACAGCCAAGCAAGTAGTCAGAAGGAGGTCAGCAATGATAGTGCATACATTTCTCCAGTAGGTAGCTACAGCATTCTGCAAAAAACACTTTGACACAAGGTTCAGTTCACAAAGCTGTTGTTCACCAAAGGAAACTGAATACAAGGTGAAAAGTGATCATGAGGCAAAAATAGTAATGGTGTTATATTAACTTCACCATCTTAGTGAATCAAGCCTATGGCCAATGATGTAGCTCAGTCAACAGTCTTGCCTATAGAAAGTTGTGCTATCCAGTTAATTTCATTTGCATTATAAATCTCTAAACATTTAGGCAAACACCTTAATTTGACAGGAAGATATACAGTATTTGTCTGCAGAGTATTTGTCTGCTCTGCTCTCTTTTTTCACCAAATACTTATGTATTAGGTGGTCCCTAGCCAGAACAAGATACTCCTTTTGCCTTTTTTTTCACTTTTTCACAAACCGCTAGATTATGTATGAAGTCTCTTTATGTATGAAGCAGAAGTGTCTCTTCAAATGTAGTGGCTTGGCTGGGCGGTAGTGAACCAGGGCTCAGAATTGTACTTTTGGTTAATGCTTTGTTGGGTTGTCCATTAGTTCAGGTTGAGAAGATACAATAAACATAGTTATAAATATGTATATCTCTCTGGCCATCCACTAGGAAGTTTATTGCCATTGATGCATGCTAGGGAAGACAATTGGGGAACCTTCTGGAAGCTCTCCTGTCTCCCAGGCCTCCCTTTTGCCTGGGGAGGACAGGTGCTGCTGTTTTTGACCTCCCAGGCCTGCTGCCTGAGGAGGACACATGCAACTCTGAAAGGTAGCCCTAAGGCCTGAGGTTTGCACTGCCTGCGTAGAGGTGTTGCCTGGGAGGAGTGAAGCTGGTTTAGAAGCAGTAAAACTGGATCCTGAATCCAGGGGGTGAGCTTCAACTGCTGGAAGTGTCCTGGGAAGCTGGGCATATGCTTGAACCTTGCAGGACGTTTAGTGGCCTGTCCAAGGAGTTCATGTGCAGCAACTACTTATAATCAGCAGGTTAGGAGAACTTGAGCGCCAGTTTGGCTTAAAGTTTTTGTGTGTCTTTAAGTAGAGTCTGAAGTCTGCCTAGGTATTATTGGGTTTCCTATGCCCTAACCCTCTCTCCCGAGAGTTTATTAGCCAAATAGATTCTATTAACTGTTCAGAAATGATCGATGCTCATCTGTTTATGTCCTCACTCAAGTCAAGAATCCAAGCCTGAGGTGAAATGTCAGCCAACCTGACCTCTGGAGTCCCTATCTGCCTCCAGTGGGTAAGGGGGTGCATACAATTTTTATGCCTCCATAACAGCTTAATGATACAAGAATGCACTTAAATTATGGGTTATTATGGGCTCTTATGCAAACCAACGAAACATCACAACTTAGAGACCAAGCTGTAAGTATGAAGGTTAATGTATACCAATGGTTAATTCCATAAAGTTTATGTTCTCCTACATACAGAGTGCAAAGAGTTCATGTCTTTAGGATGTGTATTAATGATACGACACAGACAATTTAAATAAGAAAATCCTTTACAGCTTTGTGTTGTAATTAAAGAAGATGTAAACCCTAACAGAATGATTTTTAGCTTGGTAAATAAAACACTGGATTTCACCTTTTTTTGCATCTAAGTGTTGCTGATCTCCTGCTACCTCTTCTCTCAGCCACTTCTTGTTTATATGTGCTACAGTGATGGCTTCATGACATTTTTCATGGTGAGTTTTTCTGTTGGTGACAACAGTGAATCATACCTGCATAATGTGTGTTAAAATGGACGTGTGTAGTCTTCATTGGAAGCCCATTTGACAGAGTGACCATGCAGGAGCACACGTGAGAGGCGGAGACAGCGCATTGTCACCCTTTTGATATTACAGTAACACATTAAAGTTTACACAAGATTTTAGTAATTGGGTTTACATCTACTTTATAGTACAGGTGAAACTCGAATAATTAGAATATCATGCAAAGTTCATTTATTTCACTAATGCAACTTAAAAGGTGAAACTAATATATGAGATAGACTCATTACATGCAAAGCAAGATAGTTCAAGCCGTGATTTGTCATAATTGTTATGATTATGGCTTACAGCTCATGAAAACCCCAAGAACCCCAAATCCACAACCTCAAAAAAGTAGATTATTACATGCAATCAATAAAACAAGGATTGTACATAGAACAATATCGGACCTCTGAAAAGTACAAGCATGCATTAGTACTCAGTACTTGGTTTGGGCCCCTTTTGCAGCACTTACTGCAATTACTTTTGCATGATATTCTAATTATTCGAGTTTCACCTGTATATGTGTGGCCAAACTCTTAAGTTTCAGATAGAGTAGGAAAGGGTTAAGACCCCTAACAATTTTTTTTTTGCTGTCTGTGTCCCGTCACTTTGTGTAAGGGGGGGCCACAACAAGAAATGAGTGATAAGCTCCACAAAATGATAATGATCCCCCCATTGGCCAGTAATCACAGTATCAAGTGCCCCCATTTGAAGATTTACCTTTTGCTTTGGTGACAACTGTAAACTTCTGGATATCCAATTACTTTTTTTCTAAGTGATAATGGCCTCCAGGACAAACATAGAGGGTGAAAGTACGTAGCGGGGGACAAAGGCCGCAATGTAAACTTGGCAGAGATTCTAATCCTTCCCTACTCTATCCAGAACTGCTTTACATACACTTTCATATAATTAATGACATCTTCAAGGCTCTAAAAAATATCAACCTTCTATTAAGTTTTTACCTTTGCAGATTAAAAAGATGGAACCCTGGAATAAAAGTAGTGTCTCTGAGTTCATCCTTGTTGGGTTTCCAACTCTGTACAGATATGGTCCATTGCTCTTTGTGTGTCTTCTTATCATTTACCTTCTTACTATTGCCGGAAATGTGATTATATTCTCCATTGTACGGCTGGACTCACAGCTCCATACCCCAATGTACTTCTTTGTTAGCATATTGTCGTTCCTGGAGATCTGGTACACTGCAGTTACAATACCAAAGATGTTGATCAATCTTCTAAGTCCAAGGAAAAGCATATCTTTTAATAGTTGCCTCTTACAGACTTATTTTTTCCATTCTCTTGGAGCCAGCGAGTGCTATCTTCTTACCACCATGGCCTACGATAGATACTTAGCTATTTGCCAACCACTGCATTATACTTCTATCATGACCCCTAAGTTGATTATAAAGTTAGTAGCCCTCTGTTTCACTCTTGGGTTTTTATGTCCAATCACTGAAGTGATTCTAATATCTAAGCTTCCTTTTTGCGGGAGCAATGAAATTCAGCATATTTTCTGTGACTTCCCACCGCTGCTCAGTTTGGCATGTACAGACACCTCCATTAACGTCCTGACTGACTTCATAATCAATAGTTTTATTATCCTGGTGACGTTCTTCTTCATAATGATTTCATATATTAGGATCATTTTAGCGATCCTCAAGATTAAGACATCAGTTGGGCGAATAAAGGCTTTCTCCACCTGTGTATCTCATCTGACCGTAGTGTTGTTGTTTTTTACTTGTATTGTGTTTATGTACGTGCGACTTACCACAAGTTACTCTTTGTACTATGATCGTGTGTTTGCAGTCATTTACTCTGTGCTAACCCCTATCTTCAACCCTATTATATACAGTCTGCGGAATAAAGAGATCAGAGTGGCTTTTACACGTAAACTGTGCAACAGAATGGATTACACCCCTAAATAAAGAAGACATTGGCAGTTAATTGGAGCCACTGCTGGCAAAAAATAAGAGAACTGGTAAAGTCCAGACAAACAGTTAAATTCACTCTTGAAATACATATGTGAACTGTGATACACATCAAAACATTTATAATTTGGTTCATCCAGTTTTTTTGATCTAGACACCCTGCTAGACACTTTGATCAACCCACTTTTCTTAAATACACTTAAATAGAGCAGCTTGGTCACTGACTTGCCCCCTAGCTGCTGATTGGTCAATGAGGAAGTATTTCACACTAATTGAGTCTTCACTTTGTCCATTTTTCTCTCTTCTTTTCTCTTTCTCCCTTTTGTCAGCAAGCTTCAAGTGTTAGATTCACAGCACTATGCAATAAAGAGACTGGCTCCCAGTGCTCACTGACCATCCCACAGTCTAAGGTGTCTATATATTAATGTTTTCAACCAAAATCTATACGACTTCCACTCAAGAATCACACAGTGTTCTAAATGAATCTTGAATCTTAGGTGAAAACGTGTGGGTGAAAGTTGCGTGAGAACATTGCAAAGCAAATTGGTGGTGTTCCCTGAATCATACTTAATGCAGTATGTTTGCTTTAGAGTGCTCATAGACACGTATGTCCTTTCTCTGAAACATGGAGTTACTTTTGCAGATAATCTTAAGCCCTTCTATCGGGGAAACCCCAATTGGCTCGGCTAAATATGTTCTGTCAGCAGTCCTTCTCCTTTCCCATTTAAGTGGGAGCTGAAATTTTATGCAAATCCTTCCAAGACCTTGAGCTTTTCTGTTGGCTATTTCCAGACACATTAAACGACTGACAGGGAAATGCAAGGCAGGGGGTGGGCTCAAGCTAAAAAAGAGGACTTATCTTTGCAGTGGCGGAGCTAAGGAACAAAGGGCCCTGGTGCAAGATTTTTTTTTTGGGCCCCCTCTCACCCCAAAAAAAACCCCACAAACACAGCGCTCTCCTTCCGCAGAGCTTGGCCGGCTGTCACTTTCTCTCCTCCCCGCTAGGAGATGGAGCATCGTCCAGCGGGGAAAAAAGAAAGCAGGGATGCACCGCTGTATCAGCAGAAAAATGGCACTTTCGGCATTATGCCAAAAGTGCCATTTTCGGTCAATATGTTTTGGCCGCCAATATATGGCGCAGCCCTAATATTTACAGCAATACAGAATGGCACAGGCTATAGAGGACTACACATCCCAGCAATACTTTATATAACAATAGCATTTCTGTATAAAGTACTGCTGAGATTTGTAGTCCTCAGCAGGCGATTGGTTGTAAGTCATACAGCAATCGCCTGCTGTTAAAAGCGGTACCAAGAGCACGACTGCCGAAGCAGCC